CGCGGCCGACGGCGCACCACCAGCTCCCATCACTCGGGGCTTCACACAAATGACATGCATAGAAAAAGCAGCAATGGAGATAGAAACGAGTCCTTTTACACAAAAATTTCAATTAACTGCCGCCCCCAGGCGCAGCCTTCAAAACTCCCCAAGACCACCGACCACCATAGCCACAAGGCCCTGCTGCGGCCGACGTCCAATCCCCACCACTGCTCAGTCCTTCCAACTGCTTCGCCCCCAAGACTACCGCGGGTCCACCCCACGTCGTCACTCCGCCCGTCCTTGGGCTCGTCGAGCCTGTTCGGCGCTGCGGACTCTCGCGCAAAGCTCGCGCAGCATTGCAGCCGAGATCAAAGAGAGRGAGAGGAGAGGGTTGCGCAAATTTATAGTGCGGGAGGCGGCGAGATATCAGCGCGAGGTGCGGGCAGCGCAGGTTGTAGATGAGCAGGACAGGAGGAAGGTGGGGAGTCAGAGGGTTCGACCCGCGGGGTTCCATGGTCCTACGTGATTGGGCTGTTCGTTCAAGTGGTGCGCGGTTTCTCTCCACATTGATCCGAGCATCCCAACTACGCGGCCAATCACTTCGCGGGGTAAGGATCGAGCTGGGCGGAGGGGAAGACGAAGAGTCCGGCATGGGGAAAATGCGCGCAGCAAGGAGGGAAGATGGCGCGTTTCTTGGTTTTCATGCCGCGGCCGCTATTCGCCCGCGGAAGTTATTAACCAAACAAAATGAAAAAGCCGTTTCAAAAAGAAAACAAAAGCAAAAAGAAAGAAAACCCCTTTCTATCCGCGTCCGTACTTCGGGGCTTCCGCGGGATTTTTCCTCAGGGATACGGCAAGCCGCGCGATACGGATCTTCGCTTATCACAGGCCCACATCCGCCTTCGCTTCATTGAAGGGACTGCGTTCATTGAAGGGACTGCGTTCATGGTGGTCCGCGTCGCCATTTCGGTCGGATGGGCCCTGTGGGTGGATACCGTCGGGGTGGGAGGGTATCCGTGGTCTGCAAAGACCGACACCGACAGGGTTTGACTGTAGTTGATTAGACGTTCCGCCGTCGCATTCATGCTTAGGCTAGGTCTAAGTCCTTCCGTTGTCCAACATTTCCACCCTTGCCCGCGTTCCGCGAGGCCGGTCCCGCTCAAACTCATCCCGAGCTACTCACCTGCGCAAGACCACACAAAGCAAGGAGCAAATACAATCCCCATTGGGGTCAACACATCGCCCCTTCCCACAAGCCTAAGTTTTCCCTTCACTTCCCGTTCCCTTTCGAGTCCCCTTCCCTTCCCGCAAGCAAGCCATTCAATCCTCCTAGTCATGAAGTCGGGGAAGATGGTTGAGTCAAACTGACCTTGTTACAAAAACAACACTCCTTTCTGCTTTCTCAGATGCTCTCAACAACCTGGTACCCTTTCCTTCTTGGTGGCACAAGGGACCTGCAACCCTCCCCTTGCCCTCGCTTTCCACCAACTGAGGACCAAGTTCTTTATCGTTCGTTCCCTGGCAATGTAACAGGTGAGGGTAGAGGTTCGTCACGTGCCATGGAGGGGAAGGGGTGAGGGGAGAGTTAAGGGTCTAGGTCTCGAGAGAAAGGAGGGAGGGAAGAGAAAGAGAGAGAGAGGGAGAGAGAGACGGGGAGAGAGAGAGGGAAAGAGAGACGGGGAGAGCGAGAGAGAGAGAGAGAGAGAGAGAGAGAGAGAGAGAGAGAGAGAGAGAGAGAGAGAGAGAGAGAGAGAGAGAAAGAAAAGGAGAAACAGAGGGAGAAAGAGAAAACGAGAGG